CCTCCCTGCACAGCCGCAGAGGGACCCGCGGCCGCCCCGCAGGAGGAGGAGGAGGAGGAGGAGGAAGAGGAGCGGAGCCGTGCGGGCGGGAAGGGACAACTACCGCGGTGACAAAGGGGCCGAAAGCGGCACCGGGGCCCTGCGCTCACACAGCGCCCACAGGGGATTCACCTGCTCCAAACACGCCAGTCCCAACCCAGGACTTCTAGGATACAGACAACAAAACAAGAAAACAAAACAACACTTCGGGTTAATAAAAGAAGGAGTTTTGCTACCGAAGTCAAACCTGAAATAAAAGGCCCAGCAGAATATGGCTTACTGAACATCAATTTTGCATACTATTTAAAGTTTATTTTAAAAAACTGCTTCTGAAATTCTCAGTCACAACCAAGTAACTAAATTAAGTCTAATGCTTGTAACTGAAAGATTATGAAAATATTTGTTCCAACCATGTAAAAAATCCTCAACCATAGAGTGTAATATTTTCTTTTTAAAACTAAAATGGAAGATCAACTCTTAGCAGATTTAAGTGTATTACACACAATGTTTTGTGAATTAAGATTTATTGATTTCCATTGTATTTGCTTTAAATATGGTTGAAGCTGACTGCAGAAAAGGGATGCTGAAATTTTTAAGTTAAAAGTAAACTAATGGTGAAAGAACATCACCTCTGGCTTCCATCAATGCCTCGTTTATCATATTTTATTAATAAGTTCCAGGACTATCACATCCAGGGATGTTGGAGGCCTCTCCCAGCAGTGTCCTTAGCTTTGTGTCATTTTCCTGTGCCAGAGGTGAGCGTGCTTTCAAAAATACTGCCATTTTCCCAGCACCGTGTCTTTGATTGCATCCACATATTGAGTCGGTACCCAATAGACCCAGTAGTAAGATGCTTCTGTTGGGCCCAGCTGAAATGCCTGCAAAGTTAAAACGACAGCATTTACCAACGGCAACAGAACAGCTCATAGCAGTCACACTGGACACCCAATTCATCCACAAAAATAAACAAACAAAGCAAGGCTTCTATCTACAGCCTCGTTCAAATACCTGGTACACACTAAAAGTATTTGATTTGTAATTGTAGAAAATATTCCTTGGAGAAGCAAGAACTGTAAAGGACCAATTAAAATGATGAGCTACCAGAGTAGCAGGAAAACTCGGTCAGCTTCAAGAACACGAGGAACACATTCTGGAATGCAGAACCCGCAGGGAAACTCAAAGATAAACATCTACAGCAACTACCAGAGTGCAGAGAGCCAAGAAGCCAGAAGGGAACTGAGGCAATGACCATATATGTGTGTGTGTGTGTGGTCACACATATATGGTCATTGCCTCAGTATATGTATACACACACACACACACACACATATATATATATTTAAATGAATCTTCACAGAATTCTATATTTAAACAAACCATTTCTCCTTACTTGCATTAGAATAAATAGGAGAGGAATATTACAGCATGACAACATTCTCTATCCTTGTTTTAGAATAAGGGTTTACTAGAGCATAACCAAAATAAGCCATTGTTCTATTTGGGTGATCAAAAAACTGAAAAGAGAAAAATGAAATATTTGAACAAAGACTAAATCAGCTTCCTCCTGAAGACTGTAATTAAGGCAGAAAATTTCTCTTCTCTTTAAGAGAGAAGCAGACTTCTGTACAAGGAACTTACCTCAGCTAAAGTGAGTTACTGCATTTTGGAAACAAAACCTCAAAATAAACTCCTCAAAACTCCAGCAGAATTTACATTGCTCTACACAGAGATATTCATTTTCTAAACCAAATACCAGCATTTCAGAATCAAATGTGTAAAAGAATCACTACAACATCAAGTCTCTAACCTCTGACATGTCTTGTTGTTTATACAAGGAAACTAGACACTAAAGCTAAGAAATCAAGCTAATTCTTCTTGACAAAATAACCTCCCCGCTGTGTGAGGTAAGGCTGACTTTGGGTTTTTAAAGGAAATGATTGTCAGCAAGCACTATCAAAGAGCATTAACCCATAGTCAAAGTGAAGGAAGGTACTTCTTACAAACTAAAGATTTCTGTGTCAAGGACTTTAAGGAATAAGAGAAGCATAACAATTTATATGCTTATAATTTCACACACAAGAGGAAAAACAAAAAGAAAACTAAAAAAATGAAAGTGAGGCTAAAGTGGATATGTCTTTTTAGAAGAGTTTAGTGTTCCATGTTCATGTTGGCTGACCTTTCTTTGGAAAATCTGCCCTACAGTCCCTTTGTTTAAAAATACTGTGAAATTCCATTTTAGGAAAATAGTGTGTGTGTGTGTGTGTGTGTGTGTGTGTGTATTTTACTGTGATAATATCCCCCTCTTGTTATGACAGTATAAAGAAGCACTAACAATTGTGTGAAGCCAGTCAGGATCTCCACCAATTAGCAGGCATTAACTATACACTACCCAAAACATCTATACCACAACAGCAGACAATACTGGCATTTTCACAACACGCGACATTTTAGCAGTCTCAGATTTACTTTCGTTCTGAACCCCCATTTCTCTGTGTTTGCATGAAGTGGTTACACTGATATTATTAAAGTAGAAGCATTACTTACCATCATGTGGTAATCCTCATGTCCTTCAATAGGTTCACTCACCACATTTTTAATGGACCCCATGGGTAACTTTTCCGTTCTCTCTACATTAAAATTGATCAAAGTATTATTTCTGATATATGAGGCAGGAGTATTTCATGTCAACTTTAAATACCATCTCTATTACTTCCAAGAAGATCTCCCGTCAGCAGTCTTTCCTTCTAGGGTGAGCTTACCACAAATCCCACAACTGGCATGCCAAAGATTCAAAGAAATCTGAACAGGTATCACAGAATTACCCAGCTTTTCATGTCTCTGCACCATATTAAGGAGGTTCAGTAGGTTCTCCTGCCTTGGGCCTTAAGCTGGCAGGTGGGTGGGGAAAAACCTTTATTTAACAAAACTCCTCGAGTATCTCCACTGGATCAGCAGGATTACTCTCCATAGTGAAAGTAGCCCCAGGTAAAATACGCAAGACTGACTCTAAAGGACTAAGCTCAGCTTTTTGGAAAGGACAAGTCTGACAAACTGAACGAAGAGCAGCCAACTCTCTGGAATTCTAGTTCCAGTTTTACTCTGAGGTAGCATTCAATGACCACTACATAAGGCAGGAAGGAAGGAAATAAGGAAGGAAAGGAAGTTAATAAGGACTAAACAGGGAAAGAAACAAAAAGAGAAACTGAAAACCAAACCAAAACAGAAACAAAAAACCCACCCTACAATTACATGACAGACTTGTGTCAGCCAGTCAGATGTGACCAACAACAACAACAGAAAATACAGAGCATGATTCATAGCCAATTTCTTCCTTCTCCCTTACATCCTCTCTTCTTCCCAAAGATTCAAATCCAAGAACCTTCCTTTCAATTCCAGCTTTCACTGTCCTAAAATTATCTTCATGGGTACAAGACAAAAGAACAAACATTCTAAAAAGGAGGAATGGAACAACAAATTCTTTAGATATGTAACTAATTGGTGTGAGCCAGGAGAACACCTAATTATGAGAGGCCCACGGGGAAATGAACAAACATATAGTTTGTATCTTGTAAATGAGTCTGGGATAAAACAAACTCCACCCTGTGCTTCAGCTGAACTCGCTCTGAGCCACCCCAAACTCCCTCCCTGAGTGCAGAACCTTACCTGGGCACTCATTTTGCATTCAAATCAATTACTCTTCACAACATCTCAACAACAGACGAGCCCTTATTACCAGTGTGTCTATCTGCACATGGAGTATCTGAGAAACACGGAGTTACAGCAAACCTAAGACTACTAAAAGGTAAAGTGGTCTGAGAAGCTCAGGGAGAGACAGTTTCAGTGCTCACGGAGTAGCCAGGCAGAAATGGTGTTAACAGCCAGCTGTGTTTATTCCAGCCCATACGTGCTGGCATCTACCAGAAATTTCTCTGTGCAGGGAGGAACTTTTCCCCACAACATCCAGCAATTACAAGTGTTCCCTAAAGGAAGTGAGATGTTGCTAATTTGGGGAAGTAGGGTGACGGGTTATATCAGAGACAGATGATTACAAGAAGAATCAAATTTCGTATTTAAGAAACACTAACCCAAAGCACTTGAGGAATACTAAACTTGAAACTGCTCTAGAAGAGCAAGCAAATTAATTACAGAAATACTAATCAAGCATTTAGAACACAACAATAATGAAAAAAAAAAAAAACCTCTGCTCTCCAGTCTACAGAGGGAAAAAAAAATAGCCTCTCTCTGTCCATTAGCCCAGGAGAAATCTCTGCAATAGGTTTGATACTGAAATAGATTTTAAAGCCAGAAAATCTTCACAGTCAAGCCTGTCCTACATAGGAAAGGTCAAAAACCTCCAAGTTTTCTGTTTACTTTGGAAATAAGGTGGCAGCTGGAGGTGCCATCCCAAGCTACTATTACCGTGCAATGAGGCTGCTTTGCTGGGACGGTGAGCAAGCACCACTGCTCCTCTTGCTCATCGTTATAATATTGCTCCGTCCTGGCCAAATTAAAGGCACGGAGCTTCCTTTGGAAGCAGGGGGATTATCGGGGCGTCCTCAGCAACGCACGTTATCACCACTGCACTTTCAGCTCCTCCTGGCACCACGCAAGACAGTAAACTGACTCCTCTGCACAGCAGCACATGCTGTAGTTTCTGCGGTTGTACATCACCGAAATGGGACACCCACCTAATTTTGGTTGGCAGGACAGATAACGTCAGAAATGCCAGCACTGCCAGACTTATTCCCAGTTCTAAGATTTCTTTTAGGGTCTTAGCCAAGTCATTGAGCTTCTGTGATGTGGAGAACCAAACCAATGTTTATGAAGACCTCTTTATATGCACTAAAAATGCCAAATATTATAATATACATCTGAGAGCTACGAATAGCAGACTGGAAAGCCACACTCGAGTCAAATTGAACTCAAGGGTTTTTCAAGAGCAGAAGTAAAACATCAGATAATGTTCAAATGGTCCAAGAGAATATTTGAGAAAAGGATGCACAAGATAGTTTTGAAATATGCAGATACCATTATTATTTCCTAAACACAACTTGTTCACACCAGGAAATATTTCTAGTTCACACAAATCTCTTCATTCCTACAGGAATAGCTCCCCTCGGTTTCAGAGTTGCTCACCTTTTGTACCAATCCACAGCTGGTCTTGCTCAAGTTTAAAGGTCAATCTTACTTTCCCCCCTGACTTGTTGTACATGCCAGATAATGGCACTGTTGGCAGGCGCTCCTACAAAGAGGCAGAGTCATGGTGAAAGACTTTAATAGGAAAAAATATATTACATATGTATCTTCAGCTTTTTGAGCATAAGGACTAACCACTGTTTTCTACTAAGACTGCAAGAAAAGACAGAACCAGCAAAGAATGCCTCAAACCACAACTAATTAGCTCTTCCCTGATTAGAAATGTGCCATACACTTATTCACTTACCTGAACACCTTTAACAGAAGGCATCACATCATCAGGTTTGCCTTTATCCAATACTTTTCTGTGTTGCTACAATACAAAACAGAAATTAGAATTTACACAAATACAACAGAATTCTGCAATTATTCCCATCTGTACCCTTGACCTTATCCCAATAACACTACAAGACAGCTAAGGACTACTCACAGTCATTTATCACACAGAAAATGGTTAATTCTTAAAATTAACCAAACACTTTCTATGACAATCTTAAAAAAAAACATATAGACAAATAAAATCCCAACATGATCCAAAGGATAACATCCCTTCTAGAGTACATACATACATATATATTTAAAAAACCTCACTTTAACATCATACATGCTGAATCAAAGTGGGCATTTGGCAAGACAGTTTAAACAGTCAAGGGTCATGCTCAGTGAATGGCAGAAGACTCCCTCCTTTGGAGGGGGCAACATCTGGTCACAGCAGATCAGAGCAGACGTAACCAGGAACAACGTGCTCAGAGCTTTTAACTTGACAAATGCCTTTAAACAATGCTGGGACTTGGCGTGCATGTGAATTAGGGTAGATTACAGAAAAACAAAAGCATGTTTCGTAAAGGCGATAGATCAGCAATGAACATTTTAACTTCTGATCACATTTAGAGGAAGGCGTGGGGCTGGTAGTAGCAGCTGGAGCTGAAAATCCTTTGTCAGCCCCACAACTTTGCAGCACAGCCTCCAAAACAAGCGTTACTGCATCACGCTTCACTCCCATGACACGAGGGGAGTTTCACCAATCTGTTCCACGCAGTGCTGGGCAGATGAAGACGGTGCTGTTCGATACACACTTAGAGGGCACTTTTAAAAGTCAAATATTTTACAGCAATGAAGATTAGTCAGCTTTTAGCTCCAGCTAACCTATATTGTGTTTGAACTAATGGCTACAAAGTATTTCCATCACTTCCCATTTCTTGTCTGAAATACTGGCACAACGGGCACCTTGGAAAACCACAGCCTCCCTGGGCTAGAAAATGCTATTTGCTCAGTTGAATATCAGAGGAAAGGCTAATTCTAAAAGGGGCTCCCTTCCTCTAACCCTTAACCGGGCAAAAACCAATCAAACAGAAAACAGCCTGTGTCACACAGGACCAGGACCCCAGGTATCAGGGGACACCACCAGAGACCCATGTAAGCCCTACGGCTCCTCCACAG